GTCCTATTTATATTTATAACTACGAATAAATGTTACTAATTTAAGTTGTTCACCGAGAATCAAATATAGTTCTATGTAGAATTAATTAAACTATCCTTCATTGTAAGAAAGGGAAAACCCAAGAAAGAAAGTTCTTGGTCGCTTAAAGTTACATTTTGATGCTTTCTCGTCTTAAGTCTCAGAGAATCAACTACGATGTATTATACATTTGAAATACTTCTACAAGACAATCTTTAACTGCCGATACTGTATCAGAGTGAGCTATAATATTAATGATGTCACATGATGGTTTTTGCGGTGGCGATTTGTTGATAGTAGCAAGCTCTCTTTCCTAGTCCCTATCATATCTCGCCCACGAATTCTGGCTGTTGTTAGCATCAAGTTAGTAATATGCTTCTTGCTAGCTCGTATGACAAATTGTTATTAAAGATTCTACGATTTCCGTTTCCACAGCTTCGATCATTCCTTATTTAAAATAAAAGTCCTTGAGTTCGTTCATAATTTTTGTGACTTTTTACTTAAAGAAAAAGAAGACTCGAAATGGAAAGTAAATTTTACGATCTCAAAAACTTGTTTCGTTTTTTTTATTCTATCTTTTCGTTTAAAAAAAAAAAAAAAAGTAAAAAAAGTAAAAAGGACCGAATAGCAAGGATTCTGTTGTTATTTTTTCAGAGACTCAAAGAAGAGCCAGTAGTTTTAGATCCTTCGCTAAAGGGAAGTTATAAAAAGAGATAACACGATCGTGAACGATAGTAATGTGTTCTACTACTAGTAATATGCGACAGATTTCTATTGGAACAGCTTGTTGCTGGTCCCTACCATAAAAATGACAAGAACAGTGGCTCTTTTCGACTGGTCAGGATGCACTTATTTGAGTAATATGGAATTCCTTTCAGATGTTCTTTCTCATCATGTGTTCAAATAGCTCCGGTTCCCTCTACTGGCATTCTTATAAATCACGTGTTACATTTTTCTACGAAAATCTGGCTCGATTATATTATCGATCTGGATGTCATATCCAAAAATAATACGATGACACTTGATCCAGGTCTCATTATCGCGGTCACGAAAGAAATACAAAGAAACACTTGGGAAACTTGCGTATGAATCAGAATAATTAATTTTCGAAAAATGCTGATCCTTCCTCTTTTCTTTTCCATTTTGTTGCCAAACTGTATTTCTATACAAGTATATAGTAAATTTGTTCACAATGTACTCGTGATTACGGTAAAATATATTGTGCCGATGTACTTCAATATAATTGTAGCCACGAGTTTCATTGCACCGTCGTCACTTACAGATAGATGGCCCTTTGTTTTAGCGATTCGAGCTTCGCTATCTATGATGATTTCCTTGAATCGGCTTAGAGGATCAAGAGGCATGAGATTGCTTATGTAATAAATTAGAGAATGCTATGCGAGATGATCGCATATGGTGTCGGCTTACACGAAACAGATTCATAACCGACATTAATTTCGCATTAAGACGTTTCTCTTCTTCGATCGTAAGATTCATTTTATAGAAGGATGACTCTGATTTTTTTTACTAGTCTATTTGGACCTTAAAATTATCCTATAATGAATAATTTGTGTTGTTGTTGTTGTTGACATAGACTTTTGAATCTTTTATCAAATCACCGACTATAGTCCTGGAAAGTATAATGGATTAGTTTTATAATATTGCTACTCATACTTATAAAATTTTTTATGAAATAAGATTTATAATATTCTATTCCGTTTTGTCGGTCGACCATTTGCTGTGCGATTTCTTTCTTAATAAATAGCGTGTGGTCCAAGTACTAAAGTGGTACGAAAAGAACTTCTCACTGCGTTATCCAGAATGCACGTAAGCCAGACGACGAATATGCACGAGGTGTAAACGAAGTTACTCAATGATGCCGTTGACAGGCCATCTCTGGCCTCGTGGTTCATGGTGTTTTCATTTCTACAATACCTTTTTGTCCAAGAAAAGATTATCCTTCTATTTTCTGTTAGAGTTGTTATCTAGTAAATGAAGAGATTTTTGTTCAATAATTTAACCGTCAAATTTGAATATTATTTTATTTACAACAATACTTGTATCTTACCGTAGATTTTTTTTTAATACAAAGTTATACTTAAACTAGTGAAACAGAAATTATTATTGAAATTATAATAATTCACTTCCACTAAAAGTACATCCAAAATGACTAGTTCTTGATCTGAAAGAAGTATATATATTTTTAAATTATTATATATATTTATTATATATTTATATATATTGTATATATTTAATTATTATAATCTCATATATCTATATTTTTTTCAAATCATACAAAGCAGAATGAAATTAAAATTTTCCTAAATTCAAGATCAATGGTAAGATTTACACAATACTCTAATTAAATCCAATAATGGTCGATTTTCTTCTACGTCTATACCTGGATTTTTTAAAACTACGAGCTAAAGAATTCGAAAGATTGCATTATCTCGAAGCGTTTTGGTACCGAAGCATTCACGAAAAGAGAAGAAGGAACAAAGAGGATACGAATCGAAAGAAGGGTGAGTAAAGAATAGAGAAAGAAGAGAATACAAGAGGAAGGGGATATGCTGAAATAATAAACTGCTCGATGCGATTTGAGGTTAGATAAAGTCGACACAAATGCAACGATTTACATTACTTATGTAGAAACTGAAAAATAAAAAGTTCAATTTTGAAATTATCGATAATAAAGTGAATTTAATTGTTTACAATAAATTTATGATATGTTGGTATAATCCTTGGGATACTTAAATTTATATTATAATTTAATTAATATTATATTATAATTAGTATAATCAATTTAAATTGGTTTGTTAAATTTGCTTTTAAGTTTGTTCTTGGCATGTTTATACGTAAAATTTACTATTTTATCGATTTGGCCATAAAAAGTTGAATATTCTACTTAAAAAGCTACAGTTAACCTCCAAATTTTCTCTGTTCTTCCATATGTAAACAAATCATTGCTTTCATATTATATATTTCTTTAAACCATAAAAATTCTATAAATAATACATACTTTTTAATAATTATTTACAATATAGAATATTTTAAGTGGATTAGTTAATAGAATGTCCTGATCATTTCGATGAGTGTAAATAAAATAAATATGAATATTCATATTGTTGTAAATATCTTACCATATTAGATTTTTTATTATTTTTTATAAATATAAATGATATTAAAAATTACATATAATTTTTGTTATCCTTCTCTAGTATATCATTATGATGAAAATCTTTATATCATATAAAAAATATTAACAGCTAAAATTAGTAAAAATTATTAATGTGTTAATTATTACGTTTATGTTTAAATTTCTTTCTTTTTCAATATTTAATTCGTTTATCTTTTATTTACCTCAGTGATGAAATTAATTTTTTGATTGGCTATGTACTTTAATGCTGCAATTAAACACACGAAATGATCGATTATTTTAATTTTCAAAATTTTGAAAGGAACCAATTTATATTTGAATGGTAAAACGTAACGCTTGAAGTGCCCTCTGCAATACTCGTACAGTCATATAAAAAATTTCTCACTTTAGAATCGTAGGATGATTTAAAAAGTTAATATCTTTTGAATTCTCGAAATAAGAATATACAATAAGAATTAATGCTGTAAAACATGATATTTTCCAATTACTTGAAACTAATCTAGGTGGAAATAATGAACAATAAGAAATTTCTGTTAGGATTATGTCACACATGCGCATTGTAATATCACAAATAACGTCACCAACAGGTCAGAAAAGCGATAGTAGACAGCCGGCGACTTTGTCCGGAAGTATTGCCAAATATATATTTTGTTTATTAGTATTAAAATAATAATGGAGGAAATATTATCGAAGTTACTTGTAGCTGACAACACATCTATTCAGCAGGTACATTTAGTGAAGTGACATGTAATAAAAGAAGGAAATTTTGTGATGTACAGAACACACGTGTCTGCTAACCATGAAAGACAGAAAATCAAATTTATTTAATTTAATCTGATACATATGTTTTAATAAACTCTTTTCAAATACTTCTTCTGACTTGCAAAAGTTTTACAAAATTAATTATTTTATTTCGTACACTTTTCTCTTTCTTAATATATTTGATATTTTAATATGCATGTCACGCAATCTTTGAGTTTCTTTATTAAATAAAGATGAGCATTAAGATGAACAAATACATTTTATTAAGATAGTTTTTAGAGTCATTTATAGTACTATAAATATTATATTGATAGAATAATATTCACAGGGAACAGCAGAACTTAGAGAAGCTTTGAAGAAACAAGAAAATACGTTAGCATTATGTCAACTTATTGTATCATCAGCAAATCCGCAGGTTTTTATTTTAGATTTCTATAAATGTTTTTTTGATGTCATGAATCTTTTGCAATAAAGATTTATATGTATCTAGATAAGGCAATATGCAGCTATATTGTTAAGAAAGCGTTATACTAAAGAAAAACATTGGTTAAAATTATCACAACATATACGGACTCAATTGAAGGCAATACTTTTACAGGTAAAGAACTATTATTTTGAAAAGTATATATTTTGATAATTTGAAATATGTATAATTTAAAAAATTTTTTTAGGTATTAGTTAATGAATCAGAAAAAATAGTAAAGAATACAATTGCACAGTTAACAGGTATAATTGTAAAACATGAATTACCTAATTATGCGTGGCCAGAAATGTTGCAGCTTATACAACAATTAATTACCAGTGAAAATTTAATGAATAAAGAGGTATAAAACAATAACTATTTTATATATTTTTATGATTCTTTTGAGATATAATACAATATTATCAGAATGAAATGAAAATTTGAGTTCAGAAACTAATAAAAACCTGCAGTTAAAATTTGGGGATCCTCTCTCCATTTCCCTATCTTCTCTCTGTCAATGCTTTTAAAATTTCATTTCATTGGTATTATAGTCATTATTTGTTGTAATATACAATCTCATTATAGTTGGGGATGTATACATTGTCAATTATGACTGAAATTGCACCTGATGTCTATCTTACACGTGCTGTATCACTTACAATTCTTTTGGGACAAACATTGAATAATTTGCATGACTTAAGGCATCCTATAGCGTATTATACTTTAAAAATATTGCAGAATCTTAGTCCCTTGATTAATGGGAATCAAATGGTGAGTTATATATAATGATTGAATATTAATAAAAAAATTTATTATATTTCATAATAAATAATTTCCATAGATGGTAAATATTTATCATCAAATGATGCCACAAATAATGACCACAATTCAGTATCTTACTACTTCTAATGAAGATAAAGCTATTACATGTTTTGAATTATTAGATGACCTATGTGAAAATGCAATTGCTGTGATAACACCACATGTCAATCCTCTTGTCAATATGTGCCTTGTTATTGCTCGTAACAAAGCATTAGATGATGCTCTGAGAGTTAAAGCAGTTACTTTTATTGGTTGGTTAACGAGAACAAAAAAGAAAACTGTAATCAAACATAAACTTATTGAACCAATTTTAGGTAAGATATATTAATATTATCAACTTTTTTATTTGTATGATGATATGTAATTAATTATTTTATTTAATTTTATAGATATGTTGTTTAATCTTATGTCTACAAGACCCCAAGATGATGATAATGAGATCTATTTTAGCAGTGATAATGAAGACAATACTCCTGTAACATGTGCTACTCAAACTTTAGATCTACTTGCACTTCATTTACCTCCAGAGAAACTAATACCTCACCTGGTATGATTTCTAATATTTGTAACAATATTTTTCTTCATAAAATACATAATATTTCATTTTTATGTTACTTTTATAGTCACAATATATAGAACCTAGCTTGCAAAGTAGAGATATATATGCAAAGAAAGCAGCATACTTGACAATGGCCGTACTAGCAGAAGGTTGTTCAGAATATATTCGTACAAAATGTCTCGAACATTTCTTACATCATACATTTCAAGGAATTAGTGATTCTGACCCTGTAGTGCGTAATGCTGCACTCTTTGCCCTCGGGCAGTTTTCTGAACACTTACAGCCAAACATTTCTCAATATTCACACGAATTATTACCAATATTATTTGAATATCTTAGTCAACTATGTGCTCATATTAAGCAAAAAAACAAAGAGCCAACTTCGGTTAATCGTATGTTTTATGCGCTGGAAATGTTTTGCGAAAATTTAAACGAAAGCTTTTTACCGTATTTACCAACTTTAATGGAAAGGCTTTTTGATATCTTGAGTGTAGATACTACAGTCCATATTACAGAACTTGCCTTAAGCGCTATAGGTTCAGCAGCTATGGCGAGTAAAGAGTATATGTTACCATATTTTGAAAAGATTATCACTATTCTCGATAATTATCTTTTAGACAAACAAACAGAAGAAACTATGTGTCTTCAAGTACAAGCAGTTGGTATGAATAAAAATATTTAAAGTTTATGTAATTTTTATCAATAAAAATAATTATCATAATTAATTAATATTCTAGATACTCTTGGGATAATTGCAAGAACAATAGGTAATACAAATTTTGCCCCTTTGGCTGGTAGATCTCTTAATTTTGGAATGAAATTATTGAGAGAAACAGAAGATCCGGATTTAAAAAAGTCAATTTATGGATTGATTGCATCAGTTAGTACAACAATGAAAAAAGAAATTGCTGGTGCTTTGCCAGAAATCATTGAATACATGATTACAAGTATACAAAGTTCAGAAGGCATAGTAGTATGTAAAACAAATTGTGAAATATATATGAGAAAAGACAAGTTAATTGTATTTATTGTTTTGTTTTTGATAGCCACAGTTTAAACAGGATGAAATTTCTACCTTCCCAGTTTATGAAGAAGTTAGTGAAAATGAAAATGAAGACGAAGATATAGAAAACACAGATAATGAAGACGATGATGATGATGACGATGTAGCAGGTTATAGTGTTGAGAATGCATACATTGAAGAAAAGGAAGAAGCAATTCTAGCTTTAAAGGAAATTGCAGAGCATACAGGGTAAAATATTTAATATATTTTTATATATTTAATCGCATATTTTTTTATAACGCTTTTATATTTTTTATTTTAGAGAAGCATTTGTACCATATCTTGAAAAATCTTTTGAGGAAACTTTTAAATTAGCCAATTATCCACAAGAAGATATTCGTAAGGCTGTGATTGATGCTCTCCTACAGTTTTGTATCAACTTTTCTAAAATTAATACCAACGAAGGAAAGCAAGCATTGTTAAAAGCTCTCTCTGTATTTGTTCCAAAATTATCTGAATTGATAAGATTAGACGATGATCGAACAGTAGCTATTAATGGTTTAGATGCTTCTGCAGAACTTCTAAAAGAAGTAGGATCAATTGTTGTTATTGGAGAAGGTCATAAAGAGGCTATTACGAATTGTATTACTGATATTATGTTAGGTAAAAATTTAATATAGACTGTATTTTCGATATTTTAATAACTATTATTTGTAAAAAGATTGTTTTGGACAGGAAAAACACAGTGTCAACATCACGAAGAAGGAGAAAGCTTAGATGTTGAAGCTGAACAAGATGAATTGCTTGTGGAATCTGCGGGTGATGTATTATGTAATCTCGGAAAAGTAATCTCACCGGAAGACTACGAGCTGCATTTTAAAACTGTACTGCCAATGCTTTTAGAAAGATTGGTATATATTTTTATTTATTTACATTAATTTAGTTACATTAATATCAATTATTTATTAATTTATAGTCTAACAATTAAATAAACTTTTCAGAAAAAGAATAAATCCGAAGGTCAAAGATCTTTCGCAGTTGGTACAATTTCAGAATGTTTTTCAGGACTTAAACATAGAGTAGCTAATTTCATATGTCAGTTACTTCCTTTATTTTTGAAACTTGCAAATGATTCAAGCGGTGAAATTCGAAATAATGCAATATATGGAATTGGTGAACTTGTATTGCATGGCAAAGATGCAGTTTATATGTATCTTTTTAATATATCTTATTTAAATTATTATAAAATTTTATAGACCTTTCTTTTTTTCTTAACAATAATTTAATAGGTATTATACGGATATCTTATCCGTTCTATCAAACGCAATTTATAAAGAATCACATACAGCAGCTCGTGATAACATAGCTGGAGCAATTGCACGACTTATCATCGTTAATTACTTGAACATACCACTTGATCAAGTATTTCCAATTTTTGTTAAACAATTACCATTGAAAGAAGATTTCGAAGAAAATAAGGCAGTTTTTAAAAGTATTTTAACATTATATGAAGCTGGTCATCCTATTTTACACCCACATATGGAAACATTACTCGAAGTTGCAGTTAATATAATACATGAAAATACTGCTACTGATGATGGTAAGTTATATAATGTTTTCTTATTATTTTACAAGTAAAATAATAGTAAAAAATTGTTGCATTATAATACATATTAAATTATGTTCTATATTTTTTATGCAGAAGCAAAAAGTATTGTTATGGAATTTATTAAATCTGCTCAGCGGGATTTTCTAGATGAATGGAATTCTATGTATGTCAGACTTCCAATAGAAGTTGCGACAAATATTCCATATCTTTTTTCCTAGATTTCAATGTGAGGTTGAGAATTATTATTTTTGATTACAAGAAACATATGGATTGATAGATGAAGATTTATTTTTGATTACAAGAAACATATGGATTGATAGATGAAGATATTTATGTCTCAAAGAAAGCGATATACGCCATATGTGTCATTTTTTAAGTTATATCTAATGAATTGAAGATTTCAATATTAGTTTAGAGTTAATAATTTTATATATACATACATATATGTATGTATATATGTATATACACACACATATATACATATATATGTTCATTATTTATAAACATCATCATTATGGAAATTATATTTTCTTTTTCATACAATATCAAGGAGTCAATAAGTGCAATTAATCACATTGATAACATAACAAGAGCTGTAACAGAATGCTCATATTTTATAATATTCTATGATAATTTAAAATACATTTAGTATGGAAATATATTTCAGTTTTCTTAGACAATGTATATTAAATTCTAGTCTACAGAACTTTTCATTGTAAGTGAACTTGGTAGATGATAAATATTAAATTCTTTAAATTGGCTCGATTTGAAATCGAAATTAGGATAATGGAAAGAATGTTTAATGTTTATGAAATCTAATGTACTTGAAAGTTGAATTTAAAGGAGTGTTGTGCTTATCGTCAGAAACGAATCGTTTTGTTATTATGTTCCGTGTTTTCATCAAGAATGACGCGTCTCATGAAGCATTATGTATATACATCGAACATAAATGTACTATTTGAAGAATAAAGTTGTTATATTATATCACTTTTTACAAATAATATTAACAGCATTCCATGTCACTATAATTTTGGTAATTCAACTTGCTAGCAGGAAATAAGAGAGTTACTTATGAAATTTTCAAACTTATGTTATAGATTTTATATATATGTTATGTAAATGTAACAGTGATTATATATAATTGCCGGTTATTATATATAACTGTATTATATTACTGTAATATATATATATATATTATATATATAAAGATTTAAAAAATATATACATAATATATAAATACACAATTAATGAATGCTAGTTCTTGTTAATTTTGTTTGCTCGTTTAATTTTAATTTTAAAGTTCTTATAATAAAATTATACATTAGTACTAGATATTAATGTAAATCGCAAGAGTGATGATTTAAATATTAGTGATTTGAATTTTATATGAATATTTTTATTCTGGACAATTTAACTTTTCAAATTTGTGCACAGGCGCACAATGGTTCGCATCAGCCCCTGAAAGCAATCGAACAATGGCGCTCGGAAACGCGCGAGAATTACATTGTCACGTAAGAGTATTTATTTATAAAATATTATATATTACTTGCCT